TACCGATTAAGGTTCGTCTCTGGAAAGTCTCGCCTTCTCATTGTCCGGTTTATTTTGAAAGTGCAATGTATCGTTGTCATGGCACCACTCAATTTGTGGTTTTTACGCTTCATCTTTAATCTCATCCGTCACACTAGATAACTCTCAATCAATTTACAATTTTACACCCTGTTCCCTCTGAGAGGCCAAAGGGCTCCGTGCTTGTAGCTCCATAACAAGACCCAATCCCGCAACATCCATTCATAAACCATCCCTCATTTGCTTTCACTTTATTACCCCTCGCTTAACATCCTCTAAGAGTCAGAAGGCCATTAACTAATACCTTGTCACTTAGAATTAAGAGCCATCTTGCTCTAACAAGACGATATCACCTTCCTTGCATCCCTGTCATAAAAATTGCATTTACCCCGCCAAACATCACATGCTGAGAGCCAGAGGGGCGTTAATCAATCCCCCTGTCCACACACAACATTTTCCGTGACTAGTCATGATTAGCTATACCGTTTCGCGATAGTGATACCGTTTCGCGATAGTTTTACGATGAAAATTGTAGGTGTGGACGCTCACTAACGATACCTCGTATAACGAAACTAGTCTAACGAAACGCAGGTTTGGGCATCGTTTCGAACTGAAACTCAATAAAGAATCACGCCTAATCACGGAAATGTTGTGTGTGGACAGGGGGACCCCCTGGGGGAGTGTAACTAGTGTAACTAACTGGGCGGGGCTTAACGTGACCTCGAGCGAAAAGAGACCAGACTTTAGAGTTTCAGGATTACTTTCTTCTGTTTATGGACATCCTTGAATTTATACGATGATTATTTATATGACGTTTCTTGTGTGTGGACACTTTAAAATTTAGACTATGATTCTTTATACGACGTTTCGTTATAGAGTTTCGCGATAAATTGTTTTGTGTGTGGATACGCTGATTAGCTCCTTACCTAGAGTTAACGCCCTTATGGCTCTAAGGAGATACTATCATCTTCCATCCCCATCATAAAAATGCATTTACCATGTGCCCCCTGTCCAGGCTTACTCACGGTGCTTGGTGTCGTAAGCATCGCTTCCAATTAAGCCTTACGCTTCACTGATGACTGAAGATGCGTCCATTCTGTCATTTTTATATAATTTTGCTGCTACCATCAAAATGAGGTTTTCTGCTTCGATTCATAACATCTACTCAACCATGTCCTCAACAAACTTCTCGCCTCCCTGCTATGCCCCTATGACGATAACAACAAAAAAATGCTATATGGAGAAAGTCGGCCAAACACCTAATTCCCCAGCTGATTTTTGCTAGTGGCTACATGCATGTTTTAAAACCTGACCCAATCCATTTCTTTACAGCTTTTCTAACACCTTCTTTCAGTTCTTGATTGCTCCCATCTTGAAGCCAGTCTCTTGCAACGCCATCTTCCCTCCTGAAACCTAAACAGTTCAAGTTGGGACATCAGAAACTACCAACAAAAAATCCCTGAGAGCAAAAGACTTCCTGGCTTCTGGTACCAAGGCCCTACACTACAGTATCTAGACTGCTCCTGTCATGGAGGGATCTTTTTTTTCGGTGACCATCTCTCCCCATCCTATCTTTAGCAGATCAGGTCGCTATTAAAAGAAACCAAACATCCTGAAGAGCGAGTACCTTCCTGCCCTTCCACCCATCGTTCTGCATCGCTCCCATCTTGAAGCAGATCTTTCTGGTATTTTCCCTCTACCTGGGAAGTTCAAGTAGCTATAAATAGAAACCCTGTAACTCCTCAAGAGTAGGACTGGTCTAAACATTTCCTACCCCCACCGGTGTTTCAGCATTGCTCCCAAGCCAAAGGGGTCTTTCTTGAGACATTCTTCCCTCCCTTCTACCATAGGTCCATGCTTCTACCAAAGAAGTTCGGGTAGCTATACTACAAACCCCTCAAGTCCCTAAAGAGTAAATATTGGATTGCTCCAATTTCATAAGAGGTCAGTTTTAATAAAATCATTCATCCTCCTAACCTAAAGGCTAATCAGTTAAAGTTGCTGAAAAAGAAGCTACATCTCCTTGAGAGCAAACTTCCTGGCTTAAGTTGCCCCCAACTTTAAGGGATCTATTTTAAAAAATATATGTTCCCCTCCTTTCCCTAAACAGATTGCTATAAAGCCTTTAGACTTTAAAAGATTCCACAAGACTGACAAGAGCATATAACCCTCCATCCCTCAATCAACGTGTGAGTTACTTCCAGACTGCTCCAAGCTTGTAGGAATCCTTCTTTAGTTACCATCCTCCCTCCTCCTTCTTTCACTCCATGCATCATTCATCTATTAGTATCACTTCTAATAAAGACACCCATCAATTCCAGATCTCCCCTTTCATATATCTATCCATTAAGGAACCCGATACCCATCATCAGACAGTAGCACCCATTGACTGAGTAATGACCCTGGAAGTCCAAGGCCTACTTGTAAGCAGGGAAACTCACATATCCCTGTTGTAAGGCAGGCAGGCTTCTGTGTTCACACTCTTCACCATTCATGGATTACGGTTCTCACTTGCTCAAGTGACAATAGCTATGAGCTGTATGGGCTAGATTGTGGACATTTTTGGTTTTACAGTATATTTAGGGTGCGTTCAATTGACACTTTTTCACCCTAGAATCACGGTTTTCAAAGACGATAGTTAAAAACACGTTATGTCCAAGCGATTTTTCGTCGGTCGTAAAATTAAACGTGTTTAAAAACACAAACATGACGCTGAAAAAGATGCCTTCAACCTTGTTTTTTAACAGCTTTTTGATTGGTGGTTCATATTTGTGATTCTAGCTTCACAAATTCTCTTTAACGCACCCTTAGTCAAAGATTAGATACATGATTACGACACTTTTAATCAAGAGACCAATCAATTTTTGTTCTCCTCTTTCATAAATAAACCATGGAGGAACCCAATAACCCCCTCATAATAAGACAGTAGCACCAATTGACTGAGTAATGACCCTGGAAATCCAAGGCCTACTTGTAAGGCAAGCTAGACAGTTCACACTCGATCCATCCAATTCATAAATGGTGATCCCACATTTTCTCCAGGCCATATTTATTCAAAGATGTACAACCACTATGATAAAAATTGCTCTGAGGAAACTTCACTTTCATTGTAACTAATCTGAAGTGAGACCCAGTGGGGAAAAAATATGATTGCACTGATTTCATGGTCAAGGTTATCAAACAAATCGGCAAGATCAGCTTTGGTTTGGGCTTGACAATAAACTAGAAGCCTTTATCTTTATCCATTATCAAGTAACAGAACATTCAATATTGTCGGTGTAATCCATGCTGCTACGATCAATATCTTGAGTGGGCTTTTTACCAGTAACAAATGAAAAGTATCTTTTCTAAGAAAATCTTATTTCAAAATAAATGGAGATAGAGAGTTCACCGTGAATTCCAAGATTGTTTTTTCAATCGTGTGAACACGGCTACTGACCTAGGAATGAAGTATCCATATAGAGGAAGGGGGAGTGTGGGTAATCTCTTGAAGTAGGCTTAAAGTAGAAGCCATCTGTTTACACCGCGGCCTCCATAATGGCTTGATGACACATTCACTTTCCCAGAGCGGCACTGGACACGAAAGGGACAAATTGAGGGCTTAGAACCGCGGCGGGGTAACGCGATGGGTATCCCAGGGTGAGAGAACAAAAGAACCTGCAGAGTAACCCCCATTCATGCTGATGAGATTTTTTCATAACTGTGTCCGCTTAAAAAGTCTGTTATGGACAGAAGAGGGGGGGGGGATAAGGTTGGACCCCCTGCCACATTTCCAGGTACTGCTTTATAGTAGATGGATGACCAAGGAAAAAAACATGTACTTGACTGGTATCAAGTCAACTTGACAGGTGAAGCACAAAGACGGAATTGGAAAGAAGGTCAAGCTCCTGTGACAATTACTCCACAGAAATTTTGTACACTAACCAAATTCTTAACTTCAACCCTGGACCCCTCATTATCCCTGACCTAATCCTAACCCTATACCTAACCTTAAACCCAAATACAACCCTAACCCTAAACCTAACCTTAAACCTAATTGCAAGCCTCACTCTATACTATTGACAAACTAAAGCCCAGAGCAAGTGTCACTGGAGAAAATGTTGGATCCCTGTCAAGAGGGTATGAAAATTAGATGTTTCTTTTTCTTTTTGAGGTACATACAACCCAATAAAGGTGTGCCAGCTTTTATGGAAGTCATATTTTCAACAATTCATTTTCCTTTTAGTTTCAGTTGGATCACTGGATATCTCACGTTTCAAATCATTTGGGAGCTTACAATTCACATAATCATAGTGGAGAAGAAAAGAGATTCAGCTGGACACTTTCTCTTGTTCATCTTATAGCTTTAGCAGCTAGTTTGAAGAGGGGGAAAAAGTACACTTTCAAAAAATCCATGACCCTGTATGAAGTCATTTGTGTCATAGTTGTTCTTTAAACTGAAAGTGATGCAGTACACAAGCAAACTTCACATACTATCACCCACTCATTCTGGTTTCCACGATATGGAGTAAAATACTAATATCCGATATGGATATAGTTGGAATTTGGGAGGAAAGCGAATGACAGATTTGGCATACCAACTTTGAATTTCTGCCAACCATTGAATAGTCGTAGGGAGGGAAAGAGAAAGACGGTGGATAGAGAGAGGGAGGGGGGAAATAACCAAAAGTAATTTCTTCTGTTTTTCCATCATCTCTTTCTCAGGGTCTTCAAAGAATCTTGACATGGAACTTTTATGAATTCTTAAAGACAGCCATTTTCACAGCAAGAAACTTTAACAAATTGCAAAAAAAAATTGGTGTTGCATCGATTTGATTCAATAATCTTAGAGCATGACAATTCAAAAAAAATCTATACCACTTGCAAAATTTGTGTTATTTTCCAGCATGTGCATGTTTCTGTTTTTGCTATAGTCATTAATATCCAAAATGAACAACATCATCACAACTTTAAGATTAAAGTTTGTATAATTTCAAACTGACCGTTACGGTTGGTACCAGCAGACCAACGGCCACAAGCACCCCGACGCTGATGGTATCTTCCTTGTAAGGATACTTGATGCTTTCGTCATCGCAGAAGAACCCCCTCTGGAACATCAGGGTGGGGCTATCTAAGGCATACAGGACCACCGATGGTATCAATGCTGGACAAATGAGAAAAGAAAAATAAGAGGGAAATCTTTATTTCAGCATTCTGTTATGACAGGTTATATGAAGATACATACCGGTAATACAATACTTTGGGATGCAGGGCCTAGCTGATTTATTTGTGTTCAGCTCACATATACCTCTAAGACTGTCGGCTTTCATCTATTAAACGGGGTGCAATGATAAAATGATAAAAAGGATAAATATTAGGTAAAACTTTTGTCAGATGCAAATAAAATATGACACTGACTTGCATGGAGCACTTTATCCTAGCAAAGCAAAACTTAGTAGAACAATTTCACTGATTTGTTCAGATTTTTTTCGCAACGATTCATTGAAAAGGCAAGAGGCAAGAGGCATTCAATGAATAAAACTGCAAAGAGAATAACAAGTATCATCAATTCAATACATAGTTAGCTTCCTGTATCTAAAAAAAGAAAACTACAGTTCTTATTTACACAATAAAGGTATGTGAACTTGAACATGTTTATTCAAAGTTTTTCTTCTCAGCGACAAACATACAGTGCAGCTCTTTGTCGATATATTAAAAAGTAACATTAGTGTTTTCCATTCAAACTCTTCAATGGAGTAGTATACACTGCAATGTGCTCGTGAGATCAAACACTAATCAAATTGATTTTCACCATTATTTGAGAAAAAGCATTTCTACAAATACCTGTCACTTGTGCTATTCTACTCCGAATTCCATCTATACAAATGAAGTACAAATGCATAAAGTATAATTGAGCAAAGTACCGAGCAACCCCACACCGCTAAATAATTCACCGCAACATCATTTCTACAACAAAGTTAATGATGCGTGGTTGTACTGTGGATATTGCACAAAATGGTGAGAAATTATGCCTGCTTCATTACTGCACTGGGGGAGTGGAGATGAGAATGGAACAAAAATGAACACTAAAACCCAATGATTCAGTATATTGAGACCTATAATGGATGCTTTTCATCAAATGGTAAAAAATTGATGGCTCCGAGACGTGACACGCCTTTGAATGATAACGAAACGAGAAAGGTTATTGAAGTTCATACACATTCTTCAGGAAACTTTGTTGTGTCTGACACCATTTTATATGGGGATGAGGTTTTGTGTAGCTCACAAAGTTCAGGTCATTGCCATGATTCAGTCTGAGGAATTTCGGTATGACATTTATGTTTTGTAATGAAACTGAACATGGAGACGTTAAAGGCCATGGTCTGTGCTGTATTATAGGTGTACATTTCAAAAAGTTTAACCAACTAGAATATAAATCTGAGTTATTAAAGCTTGACAACAATTGTTACTTTAATTGATACTCACTAATAAAATTTGCATGTCAATACTTGACGCAAAAAAAAAGAAAAACAACATAACTGAGATACATGAACAACAAAATCTTGTTTGCATCATAAACACAATGGAAGGCAACAACCCAGAAAGCAAACAGCTTGTGGCGAATGAGCCAAAATAATTATGTGTTCACTACCTTGACTATTGATATATGAGAAATATGGACACAGTGTCTAAAAGTTAACAAAGCATATGTTGGTTCAATAAAACAAGAGCCAAATAACTTTTTAATGAGCCAAAATAACTATACTATAATACTACCTTGACTATTGATATATGAGAAATATGGACACAGTGTCTAAAAGTCAACAAAGCATATGTTGGTTCAATAAAACAAGAGCCAAATAACTTTTTAATGAGTCATTCTAAAATTTCAAAATTACACATATATAATCATCTGATGCTCATACAACCATTCAAAAATGCAAAAAAATGGTGTTTTGTGACGTAAATATAAATTAAATTGAAGCAAGCTTCTTTAACAACAGTACACATGAACATCAGGCCAGGGAGCTCACCAAACAATCATTATTACCGGTAACTAACAAAACCTATTGGTGCATGCGTAATGTTCACTTTAAGCAGTAACCAAATAAACAACCCACTGAAAAAGGGAACAAAACTTTGAGCGACGATTGTAACAAGCCAAATACCGGTAGAAAGAGGAAATTCTATGGGCCACGTATTTTGCAACCCTTCGAAAAGGCCAAGAATAATATTCCCTGTGTAAAGGAATCTCTGATCCGAATAAAGACAGTTTGAAAGCCATATTGTGCCAAATACTCCTTTGATATCAAATATGAGTAATTTGACACTATATGTCACAACACAGGTGAGGTGTACAGTAATGATATTTTGACAGCAGACGCGGTGTAGTATTCAAAGTGCACTGTACTTGGTAACACCCTCAAAAATGCATAGTTTTACATCATTTGAAAACTTGAAGGAGCACAGTACTTTCTACTTGGTGAGAATTGTTTCTTCCCATATAGTTACTAATGATCACAGATTAGCAATTTCATAGCATACACTGATGCCAATAACTCCTTTTCAGGAAAACACTAGCACAAGTCCTACAATCAATCGCAACATAACAACTGCTATCTCTTTAGAATAGGTTTGCGACTGATATCAAATTGTGAGTGATTTGAATTAATTACAATGTTTTGGAGTCCACCATTTACCATTCTTGAGTGTAAATTTCATAAGCACATTTTGTGACGGTGCCCCCCCCCCCCCCCTCACCCAAATGAGCACACGTCATTGGCATCACCGTGTTTTCATGATATTAGGTATGACTTAAACACAAGAAAAGCTGGCTAAGAATCATTTTGATTCTGTGTATGTGCAGTATGCAATGCAATAACAATGTCACAACAACCTTCAGAATTAAGTTTTTTGGAAATGCTTTTGTCTGACCAAATCTGAGTTTGTGTTTACATCAGATGGCAGTGCATGAGTCAGCAGATGGCTAGACAGGTTTATAAATTTGCATTGTCATGATTTACATGAAAGCATACAAAACAAAACAAAAAGTTTGAGTATTGTATCAATATTCAATAGTCAATACCTTAAGAAAATTGGAAGTAATTTTCTTATTTGAAAAAATGTCTGATAAGCAACAGCCAAAAGAAGAAGTCAGTAAAAAAAAAAATATATTTCATTGTCTATCTGCCTCTCTTTAGTCCATCTTTCTTTTCCATCTCTCTTTTCAATCACTTGATATACACTATGTATCCAAAACTCTCTACCTCTCTGCTGTCTTTCTCCTTTTCTCTCTCTCTCTCTCTCTTTAATATCACTTCAGGCTTTGTTCTGTCTGCCCATCTCTCTCTCTCTCTCTCTCTCTCTGATTCACTATCTCTTTCTCTTTCATTTTCGCATCAATCTGCTCATCCCCTTTAGCAATTTGTCCATATTTAAAGATCACTGATCCTTCCCCCCACTAGGGATCGATCCCCCAAATGATTTAAACATGGCTGACTTTTGACAGTTCGCACACAGTGGTAATGGATGCACCAGTCGGATCTGTCATCGGCTGAACAGAGGCCGGCCCAGTGTACACAGACGCGTTCCCATGACGATTAGATTTCAGAGTCTGTTCAAGAGATGAAATACAAGCCTGGTCCAGCTGCAGTGTTTTCGTTGGCAGATGAGCGTGAAAGTTGCTTGTCTTGGGCTCTATAAATCCATGGATGTCTAGTTTGTAGATGAACTGGTGCATGTCTATTAGCTCTTTCACACAAGAGGACATTTATACCAAATTTGATATAAAATAAAACATGTAAAAAGAAACATACATATACTGAATTTGTATAATGAAACGTCATAAAGAACATTTACATGTACATGTACAAACAAAAATGAAGGAAAAAGGGGGTATTCAATTGAGATAGGCCTATCATATCGCATAAAAATAAAAGCCATATTATGTCCCCAAAAGATTAAACAAGCAAAAAAGTGATCATCAGGGTTTTTACATGCTTTTTTGAGGTCCCAAAGTCTCTGACAAACAAAATATATACACTGAATAGAGGCTAGATTTGGTTTTGCTGAATCTGCCTCTGTACAAATTCACTTAAATTATCATTGTTTTGCATGAATTTTCAAAACAGAGGTTTTCTCCCTAGCGTCTAAAGATCTGTTTATTTAGATTATTTGCACATCTCCTTGAAATTGTGAACTAAAGCATGTTTCCTTTGCTGCATGTTGAGCTTCAATCAACATTTGAGCAAACATATTGAACATGGCATTGGAATTCAGGCAAACCCAATCTGCCTGCAAATTTCATAATACGACACAGAAGTCCTGGTGGAGAGTCTCAACCAGGATATTAATTACGAAACTTTTGTTGACATGCCTACGTGTATTTGCTTCTCGAGCATATGTATTTTGGTATTTGACTAGTAATTCTATATATTTATGTCATCCTGAAGATCCTGATGGGTTTCGTATTACTCATAAATCACACCCGACTACCAGGAATGCAAGGCAGGAAATGACACAATGAACTGTGTTGTACGTGATCATACACAATTTCATATTTATTGACTTCAGAAATTCACAACTTTTTATTCATATTTATATAAAATGTGGCCTATATTTATAAAAAAATATACATAATAGATGATAATAATAATAAAAATAATAGTGGGTTGTTAATTGTGTAGCGCTCTATCTGTAAAGCTTGACACTACTGGCACTCCATAAGTATATCACCCTGTTGTAGCATATATGGCTGTCATTAAGGTGCTCTAGCATTTGAGGAAATTAATACCTACCATTTATTGTTTCAACAATTTTTTTTCAGCCATATGTTAGCTATTACTTTATATTTTCTTACGCTACAAAATTAACAAGATTTGAAACTAAAAATCAAAGTGAATGTCATATTACACATACTTCAATATAAAAAAATTGTAAAATCAAAGATAACTCAAAATTCTTAAATTTTGTACAATAGTGAAATATGTGCTTAAGTCTAAACATATGTTAATTTATTATATCAGTTGACAAGAAATATTTTTCTCTGATCGTACTCCATATAAGGTTGAAATGGAACAAATCAACAATCAAAACACATTTTAGGGACATTTCCCCTCTCTTTCATTGAATCATAAAAGTTTCACTTTCACTGGAACTCTGCTT